CAAGAGCAGGAGTTGGAAAGAAACATCTCATCGAATACCATGTTCTGACTTGCAAATGCAACAAAACCGCACCATTATAAAATTGCATCTTTTAATTTGTAAATTAATGTATGTACAATAATCCGCTGCAATCCGTCGAAGCTCTTGTTATCATTCTCAGTCAACTTAATTCGCCCTGGTAAGTATGCGGCAGCGCCAACTACTGAGGAAATGCAAAACTACTGAGATGGGTTAGATTAGAGGCCTAGAAAACAGAGATGCGACATTGCGACGGTTGGGTTAGGTAACCACGGCCATTTGAATTCAATATAAGTGCTCTTGACCAATAAGCTGATGACAGTTGATGCAAAAGGTAGAAAGATTAGATTAGGTTAGGTTAAGTCCGATATTAAATATTCACACAAATAAGAATACTTACACCATAATAATAGTTTTTTATTGCACTTCGACACTGTATTGTCTAAATTTTTCTCTATATATATATGTACATACGTTATAAAACTATATCTATTAGATGCAATAGTGAATTAAAATGGCTCTCTGACCCATTAAAAACTTTTGCCATGTTCCTAAGCTACAAAAAGTCAAGAATTTAAGTATTTACAGGAGACAGCAGATGATTCGTGTTATTTACAACTATTATTGAAATTCCTGCTTTGCATGAACAAATGCAGTTAATGGTGACTTCATTTTTTGCAGCATCATCACTTTTATTTATCTTGATTACTACCTCATGAGGAGTTCCCGAAAGACATGACGATTGCAAACACAATCCTAAAATTTCAGTTTTAGTCATTGACTCGTGGGTAATTCCACAAAACATTATATGTTTTGCATTCAGGACTTGTTCGCCTTCTACATAGCATCGCTGACCTGCTCCTACGTAATTAACAATATCAAACAAACTAATTAAAAACTTATTTTCTTCCATTCTCTCCATGGTACTAGTTTTGAATCTAACCCATCTCAGTAGTTTTGCATTTCCTCAGTAGTTGGCGCTGCCGCATACTTACCAGGGCGAATACTCTCGGATATCTATCTTCGTTGCTCTTGGCTACTCCCCGACCTGCCGCGACGACCAATCAATTCACTACTAGAAAAGAAGAAAACTACTCCGCGACTATTTCTCTCTCTTTCTATCAAGTCTTCAGCTTCTTTCGTATGAACGCTCCGTCTATCTTATAAGTCTATGACTGTTGCTGTAAAAATAACAATTCGCTGCTTTAAAAACAATAGTGGAATCTCCCTGCAGGAGGGGCGGAACTTATTGCATCCACGCATGTTATATGTACGTTGTAAAAGTGTATGCGTGGATACAGTGGATTCCGCCCTCCCTGCGGGGGGACTCCACTATTGTTTTAAAGCAGTGAATTGTTTTTTAAAGCAGTGAATTTGTATTTTTAAAGCAGTGTTTTTGTGTTCCTAAAGCAGTAATTTGTTATTTTTAAAGCAGTGACAGATATCTTAACCTCTAAAATTTCGAACTTTAACGCTTAATATCTTGGTTCACAAGGTCGAGCGCCACAAATTTCTTCCGAATTCTTTCATTTTGAGTGAAAACTCGTCGAATGAGTCTAATTAGATAAAAATCAGAGGTGAGGCCCGTATTCTATATAATTACCATTTTATGGTATCTTATTGTATTTCAACACATTCCCGTACCTGTTGTATCTTTTGTCTTCTATTTTCTCTTCTTTATATTTCTCTCTTTCTTGATTCCTCACCACAGACTTCTATACACTGCTAGACTGATAACTGCCTAGATTTCTCTTATGTAAAATGGAAGAAGCATGTATTAAAGTTATTCATTCTGCGCATGCGCCACATGCTTCTATGCAATACGCATGTGCGTACGCATTGTAGTCACAGGCCAATATTCATAGTCAGTTCTTATATTCAAGACCGTCTTAAGTTCAGTCTTGAAGAGTTATGAACCAATCAGAGGGCCGCTTTAGCATCTTAAGACATTACTTAAGACAGTCTTGAAATAAGAACCGACTATGAATACCGGCCACAGACTTCTAGTGACCGTAGTACACAGATGTCTATACTATACTAGATCGCTAACACAGCCGAAAGAGCTGAGGCCGGCCGGATCTCCGGTTTCGGCCATGATGGGAACAACAAGATGGCGAGGTACGTGTGGTAATGCGTATATGAGTATCCTGCGTATGTGTTAGTGCGTATGTGTGACATCAGCCGGTAGTCACACGTGACGCGTGTGTTCCCGGTGTCATTCTTCTTTGGAACAAAGGGTGCGTTCCGAGTCGCGCATGAAGCGCGTAGACTGCATAGAAAGTCGTTCCGAGTTAACTATTGCGCGCTTCGAAAGCGCTTCGAGAGACTTGAATTCCCCAGATTGTACTAACCGTACTGAATTCTTAGCACTCCACTCAGCGCATT